TGAAGATGTTTGGACTAGACTGTCACGTGCCTGTAGCGCTCGGGAACTCGCATAGCGTGAGGCATATGTTCACGCCTACATTTCATACAAGCTATTAATAAATTGTTAATTGTACTTATTATATTATTATTGTTCTTAGTTACTTAGGTTAATTGTATATTTATGTATGTTATTTATATGCATCATTGTCTTACTCTGTTAAGTCAACTCAAGAGTAATATTAATTAATTATATAAAATATCCAGCAAATGTCCTGAATCACGTGATATGAGACGCTCTCCTCCCGGCGTGGGCACGCTTCGGCAGTAGCGAAAAACCGTGGCATAGGTTAGACGTGTCCATTCGTTCTCTAGCCTTGACCCTTGTCTAGTGCTTTATCCAGTCTTCTGCAATGCCCTAGGGGTATCAGGTATTAGTGACACGTTTAGTTAGGCCTAGGAAGGGATCCTGGTGGTAAGGTATCTCCTGTTTGGTAGGGATAATCATTTTGTAGTGATTGTTGTATATATATATTTCGTAAATCTTGTGTAATATAGTAATGTTAAGTAATATTTGTTTGGTCTAACTCCTTACAGCATATTTTCGCCCTTCCGGCATCACTCTTATTTTATTATACACTAACTTATTCCCTTAAATTCATGTTTGCTAGTCATTACTCCCTTAAGAACATAAATTGAATTAATTAATTATCTTCCCTTTTGTGATTCACTTATTTCAACTGTTCTTACTTATTCAAGTACATTTAGTTGAGTAGGTTTATGGTGGAGATAATTATTGCCGTGTTCCCTATTTGTGCCTTTATTTGTTAATAACTTGGGGTAGGATTCACTCCCCAAGTATAAAGGGTAGTGGGATCGCGACATAGACCACCTGTACAAAGTTGAGACACAACAGCGCTTCCTGCCACCCTGGCGGACAGTTCCCTTCGATATCACAATACCGACATATCCGCCTAAAAATAAATTATACAAAGCATTTATCTCCAACACACTGCCAAATTGAGAGCTCTTGAACACATACACACTCTACAGACTGATGATAATATCACGCAGACCATCTACACTGATGGATCTCTTAACATCGCCTGTGGGAGGGCTGGAAGTGCTATTGTTGTGACTCAACCCGACGGTAACATAATTGAGAAAGGAGTTAGAATTAACAACTGGGCAGCCACTCTACAAACTGAATTAGTTGCCATACTCACAGCTATTAAATTAATTGAAACCACTGTCACTGACAGTCTCATCATCACTGACTCTCTATCCTCACTACTTGCCCTTGGCACCCTCGACTCAGGTTGTCACGCTCTTGTTTCTGAAGCCAGACACAAATAAGCGTGCCTTGTTGACCGGAGTGTCAGGGTCAAACTGTTGTGGATCTCCTCTCACATAGGCCTCATAAAACGTGACAGAGTTGATGCCCTCGCCAAACTCGCGTCTAACAAAGACACCGTTGAATACAATTTGGATCTGTCAAAAAGAACCCTTAAAACTGTAATTAGGAAAGAACTTATTGATGAGTTTGACGCAAGTAGACAAGTGCAAACAGGCACTAGTCGATCCATAGGTTACCATGATGAGATGTATCAAGTGAAACATGTATATGGAGCAAGTAACAAGATCACTAGATTACAAGATGTTGTAATCGCTAGATTAAGGTTAGGATATAAGTACCTTTGACAGTATGCTCCTCAAGCGGATGTAAACAAAATTAAACGTATAGTGTGTGGCCAGACATATGGCCACACACTTGAACACTACGTCCTCGACTGTGTGAAGATAGAACCTTTTAGGGACAGGTCCAAGCACACTGTGTGTGAAATGGCACAACACTTCATCTCTAATGGCAAGATAGCCGTCATATTAAGATTGTATCCACTTTTTTGCACTTAGTAACTATATCAGTTCTCATGTACAGAACCAAATACGCAATGTGCTTGAATACCTCTCACGTAAATGTGAATAACAAAGTGTGAGGCCAGACATACTGCCTCACACGCCTGTACTCACGCATTTGTGAATAAGTTACCCTTTATGTATAGAACTAAACATATAATGCAAATGAAATACTGTGTAACATTCAGTGCCATAATATCCTGACAACGGGGGTTAATTATTATGACCCGTTGTAAACTCTACTCTGTAATCCTTTTGCGCTACCGCTCACAGGATGAGTGTGGGGTGCACAATAAAGTAGCCGCTGTAGGCGGCAAAATCAAAATCAATCCCACAGGGCAACGGAAGGTCAGCAACAGCGGTTCTCCCGCAGCTGACCACCCGGAGAGGGGTCTCCTTTCTGGTTGGGGCGACTCCTGGCCCTTCAGCGGCTGGGCAAAGAGGGTCATCAGTCTCCCACCGCAAGGTAGACGTCCTCATGTATCTGGACGACTGGCTGATCTCGGCCTCGTGCAAGGAAAAAGGCGAATCAAGCACCAGGGTAACAATGGCCACGGCGGAGGGCATGGGTTTCAGAATCAACTACTCGAAGTCCTAGCTTCACCATCACGACAACTGGTGTGGCTGGGTATGGAGTGTGACACCTTAACAGCTTCCCTCCGCCTCAGCCCAGACAACGCACGACGAATACTCCGGCGCCTCTTTGTCGCTTCAGTGTCGGCCAGCTTCACTCACAGCCAGTGGGAGACCCTCCTAGGCTCCCTCAACTACGCGGCAGAGGTGTACCCATGGGTCGTCTGCTTCTCCACCGCCTGACCAGGGAGGTCAACGTGGCCATCCCAGTCGAACCTAGAAATTTCACATGTACCATGCTCCCTCACTTGTCTGCCTTTCTACGCCCCTGACTACAACCAGACTACCCAGGACGAGGCCATCTGCTTCGAAATGGAAAGCACAGCTGCAGTTTTCTGCCTCAACAGGCAGGGCATTTTACGCCCAGCCCAATTGCTGTCATTCTAGGGGCTCAGATGTTCCAGGAGGCATACCACCCGAGAATCGAGAATGGCTGTGCCGACGCTCTCTCCCGCTTCAAGTGGATACTAGGCCAGAGGTGGCTCAGACGCCTTCACGGAGGACTGGAACAAGTGGACCTACATACCTGTTCCCATCTCCTTGCTCCAAAGTCCTGCTACAGGTCTGCCACAATCTGCGCAGCTTTCAGGGAAAGGTCCTCCTCCTGGCCTCGTACTGGCCGGCTCAACCATGGTTCTCAGAGCTACTCGCCTGGTGTCCACATGCACTGATGGTGGGGAACGCCTGTCTATTCGATCCCCTCGTTGCCAGGCTACAGAAATCACTTCACTTACATGCGTGGAGTTTCTCCGTTCCTCCCTGAGCAGACTGTATTCACCTAGAGTGGTGGAGGACATCTTGTCAGGACTAAGACGCTCCACTACTCGACAATACGAGTCCTGCTGGAAAGCCTTCCGGCAGTACCTCAAGGAACAAGGATCTTCCACGCCCAGTGAAAGTGTAAGTCTAGAATTCCTATCTTTTCTAGTGCAAGAGCGAGGCAGGTCTATCCAGACCCTCTCCGTCCACCTGGCTGCCCTCACCGACCTCCTGGATTACGGTTGCGGGATGAAGGTTAACAACAGGTCGATTACCCTGCTGAAACGTGGCCTGTTGCACCAGCGACCACCTGCTTGACCACCCCAGATATTCTGGTCCTTGGAGAAAGTCCTCTCTCTTCTGGGCTCGGTAAGTATTACTCCTTCAATCCTGTGAACTATACTGAAAACCTAGCCTGAGAGCCTCTGGCCTTATGATGTCTGTTTTTCCTATGTTATTGTTACTATGAAGATTTTACCATGACATGGATTAATCTGATATCTGCCTCACTCCAGGATCCATTCACCATCAGACAGTCAAAGGGCCGCCTACTACAGAAGGCCCTTATCGTAGTAGCAATGGCCATGAGCTTCAGGTCCTCCCAGCTCAAGGCACTCACGAGGGTCGACCACTGGACCTTCTTCGCCCAAGGAGATTCTGCAGTATTCCCGGTTCCTTCTCCCACCTCCCTTGCGAAATATGATTGGGAGAACCACAGACTCCAGCCAGTAACGGTTCCAGCGTGGAGGTGGAGGGCGAACATCACCGATTCTGTCCGGTGGGGACCCTCCGCCAATACCTCTCCGCTACAACCGTTCACACCACCAACAAACAACATCTCGTCGTTCATCCTCGGTCGGGCCGCCCTCTGTCAGTCAGAGGGCTCTTAGACAAGTTGCAGCTTCACCGGCTTTCCCAAGGACCCACTCTCTCTCACAGGTTCGGTAAGGAGGTCAGTGGAAATTTGCCTCCTGCTTCATAGCAAGATTCCTGTCTCACCAAGTGTCAGACGCACACTGCGTGGCAATGGGTCTCACCCCTCGACCCAGAGACTGCACGCTAGAAGAAAAAAAATAATGTAGCTTAGTCTAAGAACAAAATTGGAATGGACCTTCGTGTGCTCACTGCTCCCCTTACAGCATAGCACACTACTTCCTGTGAAATATAACAAAGTGCACTAGCTGAAGCTCGACTCGTTAAAATAGGACTTTGAAACTTGCTGGAAAGCCTATTTTTGGTGAGTGAGCGAAAATAGTGCACGCACTTTCCCGCCCTTCCTTCGGCTTCATCCCCCTGCTATTCCTGATGTAGGTTTGGAAAAGTAATGACTACCGGAATGTAAACTCCGGCACGCCTTGAACGGCGCAGGCAGTAAGGAGCTCTTCTGCACAGGTTACCCATTCTCTCAAGTTTTTTTTTAGTTTTCTACTAGCTAGTAGCAGCCTAGACGATTCTAGATGTGTTAATATTGGCCTTTTCACCTACTAGGGTGATATCTTGAGGTCTAATATACCAAAGTGCACTAGCTTCGCTCACTCAATAAAAATAGGCTTTTCGGCAAGTTTCAAAGCCCCTAATATATATATATATATATATATATATATATATATATATATATATATATATATATATATATGTGTGTGTGTGTGTGTGTGTGTGTGTGTGTGTTTGGTTGAAAATTAAAACATATTAATCCGAAGTAATCCATCTTACGTAAAATTCATGGACTTAGACAGGCATTCGAGCACGCTGGCAGTGGGTCCCCTGAACATAAGTCGCTGCTCACCAGGTGCTCCAGGGTCGTCTTCCTCGTGAGCCGTCTGCCCTGGGTATACTTCACCTGCTACCACCAGTCTTGGTCGGTGTATGAATCTATCAGAGCCGGTGATGAAGATATTTTATTTTTGCACCGTAATCAATAAGTTTTGGATGCCTAGCAATCGAGTAACAAATCAGATCATTGAGGTTCGCACAGTCGTAAAGATAATATAAGTATTTTTTAGAAAAGATTTTGGAAGTGAGAATCGGATCCTTAATATGTAAAACTCGAAAGCGGATTTAGCGTTTCATTATTAGTGATATATCAATTGTACAAGATGCCATCGGAACATTATTCTTTAATTTAATGAAATATTATTTCAAGAAAATAATGGTTTTAGGCTTAATAATCAGATATTAATGCAGAAAGAAGCTACAGAATTAGTGTTGTTAACAACGAGAAGTGATCCTAGAATATTTTGGTTGTGTGACAATTAATAGGATAATAAAGCAAATTTTGTATCTTTGATAGAGTAAAATAAAAATTTACAGTGATCTGGGTGAAGGCCTGAACGGTGAGACTAGGAATTTTGATTTTCATATTGGTTTCTGCCTTAACTGCAGATAATTACTTTTAGATTTAATTAAGGAAAGTAGAGTAAAGCTCATAATCCTAAGAAACTAATGATAATCATGTAAACAAACAAACAAACAAGTATAGTACTGACTTTGTGAATTTGTCAGGGAAGAGAGGAAGCTGGGTGGTAAGCACGAGGCCTTGCTGGGACGACCAAGAAGAAACCCTCAGTGGCTTTGTGTCCCGAGGGTTATAAGGCAGGTGAAGGTACATGGTGCAGCTGTTTGGTAGGAAGAGTCAAATATATACGGATCATATGGTTTAGTGTTTTGCAGAACTGTACACATCTAAAAACTTTTCCACTTATATTTACATTATACCTGGTGCGATTACCTTACAGTTCCTGAATCACTTTCTAAGAATAACAGCATGGAGTTCGTCATAGAAAGGATTTTATGAAGGTTTTGCAGCTTAGAATGAGAAACAGGTGTGACAATGAGGAGCTTTGTAGGCCAGACTAGAAGGCGTCCTTTTAGGGACAACTCGGCGAAGGCGGCGAGGAAGGCTGGGTCGTCGCTCACCACCACCACTGTCACGCACCATGACACCTGCCGCAGCTGTTGACACCAATATGACAGGAGTTATATGAGAGTGACCTACCCGCCCAATTAGAAATGTGGGAACAACCTACCCGCCATAGTAGAGCGAGACATGGTGTCCTCTTCTAAGACCTACAGTGCTGGACTGTTGCCTCTAACCAGGTTTGAGGCGCCCAGCTATGAGACCTGTACTAAAGTTATAATATCAGAGGTCACCCAGGAGACTTCTGGCCCTGCGCTGAGCGAGGGGTTATCATGTACTATATACAGGGTGTTTATTATACATACAAAATAGTACTATAAATACACTCTACCTTATGTAGAGATTTAATTATTATATTATATTAAAATAAAAAACAATATTAGGTTGAAATATCTTTAGGTGTATCCTATGTATGCCCATAATATAATCAAGGTTTGGTTTGTAGACACAACGGATGCAAAAAGAATGAAGAAGGGGCTCTATGCATATGGCACTTCCATCTCACCACACCAAATAGAATATGAAAAGTATGCGGCCATCCAACAATGTATGAAGTGCTATAAATACAATGACCACATGACCAAGAACTGCCTCCTGCAAGGGGTCATATGCTCTGAGTGTTCATCTGATCAGCACTTCTACAAAGACTGCCGTAGCACCATAAAAAAGTGTGTCGTCTGCGAGGGTGACCACAGGACCTTCTCTGCCACCTGCCTGGTCAGGAAACAGGTAATTCAAGAACCAGAGAAGAACCTGACCGAAATAACAAAACAAAAAGAAACAAGGGAAATTTCCAACACCATAGAAAGGACCACTCAGTCGACGATCATGGCTTACAACCAAACCCTAAAAGACGCTCTAAAAGAAACTCAAGCAGACTCACAAAAGCTCAACAAAGTCAGCGAGACCATGGAAGTCCAGCAATCAGAGATAAGAACCATCAAGGACTCAATAAAACAGGCAGTTACTGAGTCACTGGGTGCCATGAGGGACGCAGTGGAGGAGAGCATCAGGAGCGTCTCCTCTCCACAGCTGGACGAGTCCAAAGCCATCACTATATACTTGTCTTACCTACATGCCCATCACATGAACATGGTTCATCTAGGTTCATTCTCGAAACACCTCAACGAGACACTAACCAGGAACAACATTGTACCTGTTGAAATAAGCGACAAAGTCCCTTCAAAAGAAATCCTTAAGTCAGTAACCCACTCAACGACTTATCAACGACCTCAACCCACGCCAGAAATAGACCATGACCTCCCTGACTTAGGCAAAAGTCAGTATAACCGTAGTCCCGACGTGGCCAGTCAGTCCCCCTGGGATCACAGCTCCAACGACACCGTAAATGTCCGCGACCCCAATACATGTACTCCCATCGACGACAGTGACCATCGGACTGCAACCACAGTCAATGGTTGCGACCAGATGATGACGAGTCACTCCACAGAGGAACAAAACCCTCGAGCTGCAGCGTCGTCGTCGTGACGCTCTCATCCAATCCCATTATGATCCCCGCCAACATCAGGTCAAACCTCAAACGGGCAGACTAGGACTCCTTCAAGGAGTCTCTCAGTCTCAAGCAGGGGAGAATCCTGGAAGAAGCCAGCCCCAATGACATCGACGACGCGGTCAAACAATGATACACGGATGTGAAGACGGAAATGGACAACAACATCCCGACTACCACTCACAGGACCATTCCCCATCCTCACACTAGTCACCAGCTGAGGCAGCTCAGTTTCCAGTACGATCACGTGAGACAGCTAGCCAGTATCCGCGGGTGGACGCAAGAGCTGAGAGACCGGTACCGAGAGCTACAGACGAACATCCATCACGAGAGCAAACGTCTACATGAACAAAAGTGGGCCGCCTTGATGTGGGAGGCAGCCAACAATTACCGCAATTCTGCTGCATTCTGCAAAGGGATCAAGCGACTGATGGGGTCCACCTCTAGCATGGTCCCTTACCTGCTCGACGAAAACAACGTGAAAATATTCGAGGAGGAAAACCGAGAACAACTACATCGGCGATATTTACGGAAGATCCATACCATTAGTGAACAGGGGAACGAGGGCTTCGACAGGGAGTTTGAGGAGGACATTTTAGGTCAGTTGCAGGACCATCAACACCTGCTCCAGCCGCTCTTACGGACTGACTTCACTAGACTGGTGGACGGAAGCTATGACGGAGCTCATAGTTCCTGCAGATGTGTAAGCCGTCATAAAAGGGTTTAAAAACAAATCACCTGGGCAAAGCCACATTAACAAGAAGATCCTGCCTCAACTCCCCGACAACATGATAGAGAGGCTTGCTCATATATGCAACGCCTACCTCGCCTCTGGATACTTCCCTAAGATGTTCAAAATCGCCGTTATTCGCCTCATATCAAAAGCAGGGAAGCCTTCAAACAAAGTCGAAAACTATCGACCAATATCGCTGCTAGAGGTACCTGCCATAATCTTCGAAAAAATAGTAAACAAGCGATTGCGGATGTATCTGGAGGACGATGACGTGCATAATCCCCGCCAGTTCTGCTTCCGCCAGTACCGAGGCACATCCACCGCCATAGCTCAGGCCTACGAGCAGATCGCCAATGCCATGACTGGCCTCCTGCAGTGCAATATAATACTGAGGGACGTCAGCAAGCGTTTGACAAAGTTTGGCACGCACGGCTGCAATATAAGATCATACAACTGGGGCTACTCGAAAATCTGACGCGCCTGCTGTGCAACTTCATTATGGACCGCAGAGCCAAAATCAAGATGCAAGAACATTTTGGAGAAGAATTCTCACTATCGAGCGGCGTGCCTCAGGGCTCTTGTCTCTCACCAACCCTCTTTACACACTCTACACGGCTGATCTGCCACCCCCAATCGTCGGCAGCGAGTTCATCATGTATGCCGACGATGTAACACAGATCGTCACCTGCCCAGGAAGGTTTACGGCAAGGATGACGCGACTTACTGCTCGGGCAATAGTGGGTATCTCGGAGTATGAAAATAAATGGAAAATAAAAACAAACAAAACGAAATTCGAGGTCATACCCATAGCCAAATTCAAGCCGGCGCCATTGATGATCGACGACGAAGAGATTGAGTACTCTAAACAAGGCAGGTTGCTCGGCTTCATCATCCCTCGGACGGGCATCATTCCCCACGTGAAGGACAGACTAAATAAAGCCAAAGTCGCCGCAGCCAAATTAAAACGTTTTAAACTGATACTGAAAAGATACAAGTTCACCTGTACAAGGCGCTGGTGAGGCCTGTGTTGAGTACTCCACATATACCACCTGTCACACCAAAGACTAGATCGCAAAACAACTACAGAGCTACCAAAATAAGTGTCTGAGGGTCAGCCAGTGGGCTGGGCGCCACTCAACAGAGACAGTGGAAACCATCCACCAAGAACAGAACAGAGACCTCAACGTCAGGCCCTTATCGCCTTGGGAAGAAGGTCGTGACAAGCCCCGGACGACCTCACAGCCCAGACCACCCACGCCGCGGGAAGACATCAACGAGGGCGACCCCACGCCCGGTGCCCTGAGTCTGCCCGGGCACTACATCAAACCAACCCGCGACCCTTCCTGTCCTTGGGCTACAGTGATCCCAAATTATAGATTATAATTCCAGATGGATGTAAATTCTACATTTAATAATTCACAATCTACTGAGTCCATAACGTAATACAGTATAAGATGTTAATAAAACTTGTAATTGTAAAATCAATTCATTATTGTCTAATAAAATAACTATTGTGCAACCTCATTCTAAATCCTAGGTTAGCTTTAGTTAGCTTAACAAACTCAGGAAATGCGGGTGTCGTCCTCTCTGTTTAACTTATTAAACTTTTTTCCAACCTTTCCCTACGACTATATGTTGTGACTTCTCCATCCTCATGTCCGGCTGTGCCCTTTGAGCCCCAGCATGTTTTCCATTCATTCCCAACTTAAACTAAAAAAAAAAAAAAAAAAAAAGATAGAGTAGCTAACAAGCGGAATTCTATTTATATATGCCTAAGTTATAAAAAAATATATAATTAGCAGAATAAGCAAAGGGAGAAGGAGTTATTGTCACTTCCTCGGCAGTAATGTGAGTGACCTACCCGCTTCAGTAGTAATGTCAGTGACCTACCCACATCAGTAGTAATGTGACAGTGACCTACCCGTCGAGCCTCGTCGATCACCCGGGAGAGCTGCGCCTGTGTCACGTTAGCGTCCTGGCCGTCCACTGCCACCTCGAACAGCGCCGCACCCGAGAGAGCTTCATTACCCATCTGAAAAAAGAGTCATTAATTATCTTGATTTTTATTCAGTAATATTATCTTTTTAATCTCGGAGTGATTAAAATAACTATTGAATGCCATTCGTTCTTTGTTTTCCATTCTAGATTATGTAATACTGGAATCGACTTACCGAGAAAACGGTCACAGGTGAAATTCTCTCATCTGTTAGTATGACCACGAAACAAAGAGACTCTGACTTAGTTGTTAGTACCGCATCTACAGCACCAGATGCACGTGTTAATAAGTCAGGATCAGCTGCAATAAAGAATATTTTTTCGCTATATATCTTTTTGATCTTAACAATTTCAGTGGGAGCGGCATGTCACAGATATTTCTCCTCAACAAGAAAACGGAAATAAATGTTCAAGTTGACCTGTTTATGTTGTGGGCTTGACTGGAACCATACACGTGAAAAAATAAAATACGTCATCCAACTACTGGTTAAAAAAAGGCTTCTCTTATAACAATAAGTTTTGAATGACCAACATCATTTTACAACCATGGCACTCAAGTGTAATGTTAGACATCCCGGCCTATGCAATAACGTTTGACTAAGCTGTAGCAATGAGCGGTTGGGGTTAGCTGGGGGGATAAGGACACTTGACCTCTTTACTCAGCCGTTGAACACTTCTAAATATGATGGTATCACCGTTTGAGAACGATGTTTTGGACCTCTGAATAAAATGTCGTAATGCTGTTATGCTTAATGAGTTAACTAGAGCTAAGACACTCACTGCAGGCTTGAGAAGACTGAGAAATAGGAGTACGAAAGTAGAGTTGTGAAACTCACCGGATGGTTGAATTAGCAGACCGCCAGACAGGTACACAGTCAAAGCAAATAGCAGCAGTCGTTGTACTACAGGCAACACCATCTCTGCTGGTCAACCCAAGACTGTAAATATACAGGGTGATTCAGCAAAGAGTACATTAAATTGGAGGATGAAGTTCTTGTATAATTCTAAACCACAATGTCTCTATGGTAAAATGTCAGATTCTGCATAGTTTCCATGTTACAGTACATATAAGATGTTGTATAAATGACAGTGAATTTGATGTGAAACCCTCGTAGGTTTTTGTAATCATTTATTCAGGATCTCTACAGTGTAACCCCTTTTGGTTACAACCTAAAGGAAATGTTCAAAGTTGGCCCCTTCTGCCTCAATGTTGATTTGAATTGAAACAGTTTATTTAGCCAGAAAAACACAGATGCAGAGTGGATAATAATAACAATATTAACATGGCTGAGCCAGTTGAGAACCTGAACTCTCCTGTAGGCACCTGATATATACTATACATTTATCTCAAGGAATTATTATGTAACATTTAGTAACATCTGGAATAGTACAATAGCATGGTGGTAATAAGAACATCTCATAATGTTTATTTATTATTTTTTTTAGTTTATCTTTTTTTATTTATATTATAAGTATATACTGTTACGAACCCCGCCATCTATTGTCCTGATCTACTTACCCAGCACTACGAACCACGCCATCTATTGTCCTGATCTACCTACCCAGCACCACGTGCAACGCCATCTAGGGACGAAACCCGATTATGACTACTCTTAGTTACCACTCGGGGTTTCCTTCTCCATATCCTGGTTGTTGCGTCACCTCCTCCAAGTCTTCTTCGTCACCAGTTCAATGAGAGTTCAGTTCACTCTGGGAAGTGACCACAGGATCACCTATCCTGAAACCTACGGCACAGTGACTACCTACCGTCTTCTACAATACTCAGCCTTACTCGTCAGCCATCTCAGCTCCGCACTTAAGTATTTGCAATCTTATATTTTCCCCGTCCACTAGCTTCAAAATTGTTGTATAAATATGTATATACTGTTAATGTTTAGGTTAAGTATGGTTAAGGGTAAATTATAGAAAGCTGAATATTTTGTTAAGGAATGTATGGTACTTTATTATACACAACAAAAACTCGCATCCTTTGTCTACCCTTTTATAGTCCGATTGTCTTTGTTTTTTTATTGTTGTTGCCTGTTGGGATCTGGGTAGACTTTTAACTATATTCTAAATCCCCAACTCGTAACAATACATAAATTACAATGGAATTGAAAAACATAAGTATAATGGGGGAGCAGTACAACATGGGTTGTACAGTATTGGAGTTGAACAAGAGGACAGAGCTGTCAGGATTATGTCTAGTTGGCAATTATGTTTATTGCAATGGTAATTTCTTCTCTATTTACATGATAATTTCCGATAAAACGGTTTTGATGATACAGTAAAAGCAGGTACTGTAAATATAGTAAGTATTACAGAAATATTAATACTCAGATAATGGATATTTTTAAGAGATGATTTAAAGGAAGGGCTTAGTCTTTGCTCAGATGGGTGAAAGGGTAAGATTGTTTCCACCTTCACACCGTGATATTTTATGGGCCTGGGATTGAGGGAGAGGAGCACATGAGGGTGGTCTTAGTAGCTCTGGGTGCCTTAAGTTGTATCTCTGTTTTATTCAGAACTGGAAATAATTAATGTCAAGCAAGTGATTGTGATAGATTTGTAAACTAAAGAGGGCACAGCAGTAGGTGTTAAAATCTTCGAATTTTCGATTTAGCAAATTTTTTCGTTTGTGTGATCCATTTTTTTTCAAGTAAGTCTTTGTCATGCCAACTCTCTTTTTTATGCTGTACATAACCAGAATTTATGCTTTTGAAGAACCCAAGGGAATTTACATAGTGTGACAGTGTATCAGTGTTATTAAATATCTGTGATAGAGTTCTTTTTCAATGCTGTGAAATTGAGAGACTGTCTAGTGTGATATGATACCGCACTGTTTATTGACTTTGTGTATGAATATGCTTGTATGTGGTTTCTCCAGTTAAGTTTCTCATCAACAATAACACACCGAGGAATTTGGTATTTTATTTCTGCGTTTATGGATTTGTAATGCAGGTACGAGGGGTCCAAGTCTGAGGGAAGTAAAAGTTTTCCTTCTGTGAAAGATCATTGTAGTGGGTTTTCTCAGGTTTAATGTCAGTTTATTACGTATTTCCCAGGTCCTGACTTTAGTCAATTCAGTGTTCATGGACACTCATCAAGGAATGCAGAGGTTTGAGTTGCTGTCACAGAATTACTATCGTCTGCAAATAAGTTGTATTTTTATGAGTGTGCTGGCGTGGACTATGTCGTTTATGTACAGCAAGGCAGTACTGGTGAAAATGGAACCTTGAGACTCCATGCAAGATTGGCGAGGGGGAGTCAGATTGGTGATTAATATTATATGGTTATGCTGCATCTGTTTGAGCAGATATGAGGTAAACCAATTGGGACAGGCCTAACGCCATGTGTTGAAGCTTTGAAAGGAGGATGGTATGGCCGACAGTATCGAAGAGCTTTAGAGGTCAAGAATATACCGACGCTGTGAACTGACTGTCTTCAAGGTCTTTACAAGATATTATTAGTAAAGGATAATAGAGCAATCTCAGTCGACGCCTAGCTCTAAAATCCAAGCTGGGGGTCTGTAAAAGAATGGCCAATGGCATTGCAGAAGGAATTTAGTCTACTACATGCTAAACTACTCAGTATCTTACTCAGGCTAGGAGGACTGATATGGGGTGGTAATTCTTGAAGAGACCTTTGCCCTCAGATTTTTTTATATGCTTGGTGAACTGGCAATTTTCAGTTGTCAGAAGACACCACCACTAGTGAAGGAGGAATTACAAATGTGGGAGAACAGGTAGTAATTAGTGAGCTACTTTCTTAATGATGCTCATTGGCATGTTGTAAGCCCCGCCTGCTGCTGCATCTTTGGATATTTTATAATGGCGGGGATAGAACAGCTCAATTGCTGTAGTTTTTGCAGATATCTGAATTCTCCATGGTGATCAGGGATGCTCTCTGCACGATTTTGTAACATTAATAAAATATTCATTGGAAATTAATTTGCTGTGGGGGATTGATTGATACGTTTATTGAGATACAAAAAACATTAATACATCTCAAAGGGATGAAGTGACATAAGTCATCCTCACCCCAGTCCAGGAATGTCCCTCTCAGGACAGGCAATGAAGTACCGTTACAACTGAATCATTTATCATAAAAGCTGGTGGGGGCCGGCTGAGTATTTCTGTTCTGAATAGAATTTATGACATTCCACGTTATCTTACCGTCGCTTTGATACTGACTGGGCCTTGTATAATAGCTACGTCTGGCATTTCTAACTTCTTATGTTTACTCTAACAATCTTCAGTAAGCATCACCTAAAGTTATGGGTCTTTTGCAAATTTTCCTTTGGAGTTTGTGTTTTCTTTTATCATTATCTTAATTTCGCCTTTGTGATATAGGGCTTTGAAATGGATACAGTTTTTCAATGACAGTCTTGAGCGGGAAGCATTTATCAAAGCAAGCATTGAAAATGCGAGGGAAATGTGACTGTTCACGTTAAGTTTGTCAGGGGCATAGACAAGATCGATTAGCATTTATTAGGTTGTTTCCAAGGGCATGTTGTCAGTGCAGTAGTCTCTATGTGTGTGAGACTCTACTAGACCTTTCCAGGTCTTGTGGCTGTTTTATACATATGGCAAAAACTGGGAAGTGATCTGAGATATTGATATAAATAATTCACTTGCAAGATTGTTTAGGAGTGTTGTTGGTCAGATATGATCTATCACAGTGGCAGAGGTGGCAGTTACTCCTAGTGGGTTTGGTTATAGTGTTGAAGAGTTTAGAATGACAGGTAGCAAGAAGGTCTAATACTGGTGTTGGTTTCTGATATTAATAGATCAAGGTTAAGAATCTCCTGTAATGTAGCAATGTTTCCTCTCTGAACTTATGATGGTGATAAAGCTCCAAAGGAATTTATCAAGAAAATTCCTTACATTAGTGTGGGGTCTTCTGGATCCTCCTACGAGGATATTTCGTGTGTCGTTACGTAATTCAATGACGCTCTCCATGTACTCATCCTGAACCTTTAAATCATCTCTTACAGAAGTGTTATGCTTGATATCAAGCATATAGGGTGGCCTACCACTGTGTCGTGACGTGTTGACGCATTTTGTCTATTATAATTAAGAATGTTATACAAATGGTCAATATATCGTTAGTGGGTTTGGTCTCAAACCCAAGTACATCGTTGTGGGCAATAGAAGATATACACTGATCTAAAAGGTATCTAGATGGAAAATACTGCTGATCGTATAGCTAATTAAGGAGGAGAAGGAATGAAATTGATGAGAGACTAGAACTAAACTCGGGAAGTCAGGAAGTAATAGTTACAATTTGGGTTGAGTGTAGCCAGTGAGTTTTGTGAAGGCATCAGGGTCGATATGAGGGTATTGTGTCGACACCATGCCGTTAAAGGGGTGTAACACATACGATCCTAGCACATCTAAGGGAATGACACTGGCAAAAACCATTATTGTGGGAACATTGATACTGAATTAAGGAACAAGTAAAAAAACTCAGGGTCACTGGGGTGCGAAAAAGGAAGATCTACGAAGAGGTATAATAGTGGGGGGGGGTAATGTACTCTGGTGCTACCGTAACAAATTAAGATGGCCAGTATGTTGAGGGAGTGATTCCCAGATAGAGTGGGAGGTGCTCCTGTCACTCAGTTTTGAGGGCCTGGTTTCCACAAAGGTGGGCAATGTGCTACTCAGGCTGTGGCCGGCAGGGGGAAGACTCCTCAGGTGATAGCAGTGGCTGGTTCCCCTCAGTGGGGAGAGGTTCTCCAGAGACCTGGGGGGAGTTGGTACAGCGGGTGGGTGAGTGGGCGGGTGTTCACTTGCCTGATCCCTCACAACAAGGGTTTTATGACTGAACGTCACGTGTTTCCCTTGTTTCCTGGGTTCTTTAAACTGGTCCATTTGATGTAGACGGGCTTTAGTCGTACCTGGACAGAGATCTTCGTTGACGAATATAGTGGTGCCTTTCAGTTTACTGCGTTGATAAAACACTTTGTCAAGGTCAGAGGGGGATGAGAATTTTGTTATGATGTCGCGGGGGCGGGAGGAGTTGGGTTCCCGATGCGTTGAACACGATCAAACTTGACTTCACGAAGTTTAAAATGTTTATTCAGCAGGCGTGAAATATGCATTGGGGGTGACTCCCAGTTCTCGTGGATATCTTCAGGGATACCGGCAATCCTGAGGTTGTTTCGCCGCCCCATGTCATCCACATAATCCACCCGGTCTGCTGTTGTCGTTAGTTCCGTTTTGAGCTTTTAATTCTCCTCACTCAGCTTTTGAACTTGGGTCTGAGTGTTCGGTTCTCTTTAGCTTCAACGTTCATATTTGCTTGTAAGTCACTTATTTCCCCTTGCGAGAATTCCAAGCTTCTTTTAATCTCACTTAGCTGGTCAGTGAGACGCCTGTCAGCTTCTTCTAGCTTCCTGATGGTCTCCTTATTCATCTGTTGTTTGATGTCCTGTATGAGAGTCCGTTGGACTTCCATTATCACATCAGTCAGTTGTTGTTTCGTGAAATTTGAATGTTTGACACTAGCAGCCAACTTACACATATTGGAGCTAGTGAGGGCTGAGTAGCTGGCAGAATGGAGACGGTCTAGTTGTGTGGTCAGCTGGGTGGCCTGGTGGGACGGTGGGGGAGTGTGGACGGTTGGGGTGGACAGGGCTCAGATTACAAGCCGTGGCACTTATGGGAGCTTGGTGGGCCTACACCTCTCTCTTGGTAGTCACAGATTCACCAGTAAATTGACAAATATATCTACTTAGGGGGATCACAGATAGATATTGTATTGGTCACGACACTCACTAGTCACTCACGAATCAGATTTCCTAGAAATCAGACTGGGTACTCCTGGAAAGACCCTGTTTTTCGACGAAAGACACGGAGCTCCCACACACACGTCCCACCACCACCAAGAAACTGGAAGGTCGTACCATTGATTGTCTGACGCGTTCCAGAATACCTGGACTATGTTTAATTTGCTCACACCTGTCACGAACATGTGGGTATATGCATAATCTGACATGTTACCAAAGAGACATTGTGTTTTAGAATTAACCAAGGATTTCATCCTCCAATTTAATGTACTCTTTGCTGAATTACCCTGTATAAAATATAATTGTATAAAGGAGAGTTTTATTATCATCGTTGAATCTTTCATTAGTGTCAGGTCTGTCACTCATTAACTTCTGTATCTCTTAAGGATCCTAATTTTAATACCTCATTATGTACTCAACGGAAACTAATTTGCTGTAAGAGAATTTGTTCATATTGGCTATTCCTCCGTTTCCTCAAAGGCGCTCCTTAACCTAAGAGTTGTGCGTGATCCTAAAACAGTTGTGGGTTCAGGCCCAGGGCGGAAAGACTTGAGTAAATAAATTAAAATAAAATACATAAACTTGACAAAATCTCACTGTTAAGAATCTACATTTAGGACTGAAGTTTTAGTGTAGAGATATCTGAGTACTAGTTTTGTATGTAAATGAGAGTTGTATTTCTCATAATTTGTAATTGCTAACTTTGTTATGTGCTTAACCCCTTTACCACGGAGACGTCACATTATTTATTTTATTTGGCTAACACCAGGCAATTTTAGTCAGCTCAGAGGCGACACCGTACACAGGGGGTTAAGAACCTTGGTTGTTGAAGTGCAGGAGTAACATTATAAAATCAAATATATATAACAGAGCTGTATCTTTTTAAGTTCTTATTTGTTGATGGCTAGTGTAGTTATTCAAATAGAGGCTATACTGTACTTGAAGACCTTAGCTGTCGATGAATGGCAAACTATTTTCCTCAAAAGAGGTACTGTTAGAATTTACATAATACTTATATTTCTTATGAAAATACTTGTTATTTTTTATTGTTGTATATAAATCCGCCGTTCAAAAGTATATTGTGGGTATGAAAAAATGTAATATTAATAGTAATAGTAAAAATAATAATGATAATAATAATAATAATAATAATAATAATAATAATAATAATAATAATAATAATAATAATAATAATAATAATAATAATAATAATAATAATAACAATAATAATAATAATAATAATAATAACAATAATAATAATAATAATAATAATAATAATAATAATAATAATAATAGTAATAATAATAATAAATAATAATAATTTTGTGTTTATTGTTAACAAAGTGATTATTATTATTATTATTATTACTATTATTATTATTAGTAGTAGTAGTAGTAGTACAGATGCCATTGCTCTAAGGTACGGTCGGCCAGTAGAAGGTTTGCCCTCCCAATGCGTGTGTGGCTCTTCCTATGACGGCGATCACGCCATGATGTGCAAGAAAGGGGGCTTCATATGCATGAGGCATGACGAAGTAAGGGACCTTACAGCAAATATGTTGAAGGAAATCTGCCGGGATGTCATGGTAGAACCGACCCTCCTTCCATTGGATGGTGAGATCTTCCAACATAGGACTTCAAACACATCTAACGAAGCCCGTGTTGACGTCAGTGCCCGAGGATTCTGGACGCTGGGACAGCGAGCTTTCTTCGATATCAGGATTTTTGATCCCATGGCTGCATGTCACCGTAACCTAGCTCTCGATGCTGCACATAGGAGGAACGAGAACGACAAGATAAGGGCATATGGGGAGAGAATCCAAAACGTTGATCAAGGCAGCTTCACTCCTCTAGTGTTCACAACCTCTGGTGGGATGGGACCAAGTGGAAGATGTTTCTACGCCAGACTCGCGGATGTGATCTCCGAAGAGAAGCAGCAGCCCAGAAGTTTTGCTACAGCCTGGATGAGATGTCGACTGTCTTTCTCTCTCCTTCGGTCAACTTTGCTCTGCCTCAGGGGAACGAGAGCTTCTGCCCCAATGCCGACAACAGCTGCAGATATTGACTATGAGGCAACAGTCTCTGAATGCCGCATAGATCTGCGGCTCAACTAATTCAACACAGATAGGATAGCTACTTACAGTATGTATAAGGATATTTAATATTAAGATAATAAAATGGCAGCGAAGGTGTGGCTATTGGGGGAGGCTGGAGGCCACGTTTAAAAAAAAAGTAGTAGTAGTAGTAGCTTGAGAGTCATCCTCAGCACTAACAAGTTTAGCGCCGTCGCAAGTGATCTCTGTACTGCCATCGCCGCCCTTGCAAGAAAGCTAGCAACCTCGTGCTGCCACCACCTCCATGCTCTGACGGCCTGCCGTCTTATTTCCCTGGATAAGAATCCAGGATGTAAGCCTATAGGGGTGAGGGAAGTGCTGAGGCGGATCATCAGAAAATGCATAATTTAGGTGGTAAAGGATGATGTCAGGGCAGCAGCAGGGAACCTGCAAGTTTGTGCTGGCCACCACGCTGGAGAGGAAGCTGCCATTCACGCCATGAGAACGATATTTGAGCATCGTGATTGTGAGGCAGTTCTCCTTGTTGACGCTTCCAACGCATTCAACATACAGTACTCAACCGCAAAGCTACACTGCACAACATCAAGATCAAGTGTCCAAGCTTTGCAATGTATGTTGAAAACTCCTATAGGAATTCATCATACCTCTATATAACAAACACCAAGGCTCTAAAAGGAGACACCATCATACAGTCAACTGAGGGAACAACGCAGGGGGATCCTGTTGCAATAGCAATGTATGCAACAGGCATATCCGTGCTCCAACACACAATAAAATTTGAAACAACTGCAGTCAAGCAAGTAACACATGCTGACGACCTTACAGGAGCAGGAAAAGTGAAGGACATCAAAAACTGGTGGGACCTGATAACATCATATGGTCCACAGATAGGGTACCACCCAAATGACAGCAAGTCCTCCCTCATTGTGAAGCCATTACACTATGAACGGGCAGCGGAGGTGTTCGGTGGAAGTGAACACAAAATAACAAAGGATGGCCAAAGACACCTAGGTGCAGTAATCGGCACGAAGGACTTCAAGACCGAGTACGTAACGGGAAAGGTAAAGCAGAGCCACATGCGGCTTTTGTGGCATTCACCCACGGAGTCAAGCATCGCACGAATTACCTGATGCGCACTATCCCTGATATTGGACCC